TTTGCTTGTTTAAGTGTGTTCATAAATCCTCTTTTTTATTTTACAGTAACAGTCCAGAAAAGGAAAAAAAATAAAAATGAGTGTATCTGAAGAAAAAAAGCACTTTCTGCACTCCAAATTAGCAAGGAAAATTTGCAGAGTCTAGTAAACTAAAGATGTGATCAAGAGAACTTCTGTGGAAAATACCAATGGATTTTTGCACCTAGAAATAATACTTTAGACTTGCAGATGAGACATGAAACATTCCACACTTTACTATGATGTGCTGTTGCCTGCTGAACTGTGAAGAACTGCTTACACCATATCTTAAGCTGCTTTCTCTACTGTTGCCAATCATCCTTTCAGGACATGAAAGTGATATTTTCTTATTGACTCTCACGTGATTTTTCATTTGCATGTATTCAATGATTATGCACAAAACAAAGTATCTAATCTGCTTTGCCTATTTAAAAAGCCATCATCACACTGGTGATTATTATGTAAATCAATTCTGCTTTTCCCCAGAATTATAATTGCTCACCTATTAATTTCACACAAGGGTTAGTGTAATATGTCTGCACATACTTTATGGAAACTATCTTCTATAAAGAAATTTTCACTGTTTATTAGTGAAAAAAAGCTATTTATAACAAGGCCTTATGTTGTGTACATATATTGTCTTTGAAATATTTGTGATTAGATATATTGCTTGTAAATGATAAAATTACATAATTTATTTAGTATATTCTACTGTAAACTATAGTTTTATTGACAGAAATAAAGTATTTTGTTCTCAAAAAAAGTGCTGTGAGTAATCCTAAACAAATCCCATAGTTCCCCCCCACACACACACTCCAGTATTGTTGCTGTCATACAACAGATAATTGATAATTGCTTTGAATCACTTATCCCACACACATGGAAGGGAGGTTATGAGCAACACACTTTCTAGCAGAGGAAAGCTGCAGAAGCTTGAAAATTCTGCAGAGATCTCAAGCAAAAGGGATGGTAAGCCAAAATCTAAGGACATGATTTTTCCTGATTTAAAAAAACAACAACAAAAACATGCCTTTAGTGGTGAAGACCTACCGAGTTCAAGTCACAAGTTTGTACAGCAGTGCAGCCAAAATCTCTATTTGTAATACTTGTGAATGATGTTAATGCAGGCTCAAATGAAAAAGCTGAAACGACAATTCTGAGTGGTCTGTAGCAGGAACTCTTGACTACTCTGGACACCTCCACAGAGAACCTCATACATTTTTTTTACATGCTAATGAAGTGGTCGAACTTCCCAACAAGAAGATAGGAAATCTAGAAGTACCCCATCTTGAACGTGGTATTACAGGTAGCCTTCAGGGTGGAAATGTTTGTGTGCCTCCATGCCTTCCAGGCATTTGCCAGCTCCAAACTGTTCCCTCAGCTGATTTCCACTTAGAAGATACGGACATCCATAAGAATGCTAACGCTGTAAGGACCAGTAAATTTTAATTAATACATTTTATTTGTTTTCACTTTTAAAAAACTTCAAACAAACTTTAAAAAAAAACATACATCAAACATTGCGTATTTACCATCAAGTATTAGAAAGCTGTTAATTAGTCTGTTATACCTTAGCATCAAACAGTTCCTTCTAACTTCTTACAAATATCCTCCTCCCAATTCCCACCTTCTCCCTTTCCTCATCTTCATCTTCATCCTCTTCCTCCACTTCCTCTTCCTCATCTTCTCTCTCCAATCTTCTCCCTACCTCTCTCTCCTTTCACAACAACCTCACCTTTCCTTCTCCTCTTCTATCTGTTTCCACACCTACAAACTCGTTTTCACCTATTCCTACCCTCAATTACATACTTTACCCTCAACTCCTTACATTCATCCACTCATTCCCTAATTCTCTACACCTAAAATAGCAACATACATCCCAACCTCCTGACTACCTAAACTTCCTTGTCATTGCTGTTTATATTGCCTTTCTTATATCACCACTATCTTTTCACACTGTTAGAATTCTCATCTTATATTTTTATACGTTACATTATTTGTCCTTTGAACTTCTTATATTTCTAAGACTATTCCATATCTATAATACATCTTGTATTATTATAGCTAAAACATCTATTTCACATATATATTTCCTAATCAACTAAATTGTTTTTTACTTATTCCTTATATCAAACCTATATCTCCCCATTGCTCTTATAAAGTCAATTACATTACCCCATTCTTCATTAAATTTCCCTAAAGACTTATCTCTTATTAACATTTTAATTTGTCATTTACCATTTTAATTTATCATTTATTAATTTAATTTATGTAATTTATCATACAATTTCCATATCCAATCCTCTTTACTTGGGATTTCTTTCTTTTTCCATCTTTAAGAGAAAACTGGTATAAAATGTACTTTAGGTGGTACTTAAGCCCAGATAAATTAGCAAAAATATATATAAGAAAAGATAATAGGTGCTGGAAATGTGGAGACCCCATGAACTTTCTTCCATTGTGGTTAAGCTTGCAAGCATGCTAAGAAGTATTGGAAAATTACTAATGAGATAATTGGTATAATAGTGAATGAGAAATTGGAAATGAAACCGGAAAGCTACTTGGAATGTTTGAGGAGAACACTGAAAAGAAACATGGGAAAATTCTGTTTTATTTGACTACAACTGCTAGGATCACATTTGCACAAAGATGTATTTTGAGAGAAATACAGAACTGGAGGAGGTAGAATTTAATAATCTATTATTCCTCCTCCTCCTCCTCCTCCTCCTTATAATCCCACTTTCTCCAAAAAACTGGGACTCGGAGCAGTTTACAATTTAAAGAATAGTACAGTTAAAAACACGCCTCTTTCAAAGTTAGTGGTATTTTCCACTGAACCCTACTGGTTTGGTCACTGAAACTTAGATTCCTCATGACTGATCATTTTTCCTTTTTAATAAAAAAGTTACAGATATCTGCTGTGTAATATTTAATTGTTGCCATGAAAGCAAGTCTTCCTGTATCATACTGGTAGCATCTCTTTCTATGCTTTGCCTTTTCCCATATTCATTATTGCACTTCTTTCAGGGACATCAGTGAGGGAATGAGGTACTGGTTCATCTAGATTACACTGTCCAGGACAGAATCGGTGTTAGGGTAGGATGTTGTCTTTTTTATTTCTCCCATACAGTTCTTCCATTTTTTTTGTCACCACCCCAATTAGGTGTGCTACCTCCAGTCTGATACAAAGGGCACCCATAATTCTGGGGCTCTGATGCTCTGGTGAACGAAAAACTATTGGGTCTTAGATCAAGGATGCCCTGGGCTTAACACCAGAGCAATAAAAAGCAACTATCTGTGGGGTACCTGGTATCCTCTATAGTAGACTCCTGCAACTGTACAGATCAGCACTTCTGTCAGTGAAGGAGCATTCCTTCTTTATCCTTAACCCCTTTGAAAGGCTGTCAAACAGCACAGAATGGCACTTGTAATTAGGAAACAAAACCAAAATCCATATTATATTTTATTATCTTTATATTTTCTCTATCTCATCCCCCCTCCAAGAAGCCAGTTCCTACTAAAACTCTATAGAAATGGAATGACCTTTACCTTTTTCACTTTATTTTCCCTGCCCCCCCAATCCTTTTTCCCTTTTAAAACACTAGGTGTTATTATTTGCCACAAAACCACAACAAAGTGTAATCAGCTACCTCCTTTTCAATTTGTTGACTCATTTCTATTATGTGTACACTTTCAAATGCACACATTTTGACCGAGGCGGCAAGGGAATGAGAGACTGAAGCTGCCATTAATACTATCTGAATCCCAGAGCATGACTGGCTGTTCTCCAGTAATGTGTGTTGTGCTGCAAGTAGAAAAAGGCAACTGGATGCTGCTTTGTTCTCACAATACAAAAGCTGCATGGAGTAGAAGGGAAAAGGAGATTCGGGGTTTGCAGCGTGTCTCCTAAGGAATGCCCTAGTTTATATAATGTCAAATGGAAGGACTTTAGCTGAGACCTTAGACAACCTGACCTGGTGTAAGGCAGCTTCCTGTGTGCCTCTGCTGTTTGGTTTCTTTAGTGAGCTAATAAAAATGTTGGTATTTACATAAAAATGTTGATATTTACAAGTAATCTGTGTTCTGCAGCATTTATTGTTTTGTCATATATAGCTATCCATTTATAAAGGCACTGAACAAGAACTCATTTGCATGGGAGCCCTTCTGTGAAACTGCTCCTTTCAACTACAATGGTAATAGGTTTTTATGGGTTTTTCGGGCCATGAGGCTGTGTTCTAGAAGAATGTATTCCTGACTTTTTGCCTGCATCTGTGGCTGGCATCTTCAGAGAAGATGAGATCTTCAGAGAGAAATGTCAGGAATACATTCTTCTAGAACACGGCCTCACAGCCCAAAAACCCCACAAAAACCTATGGATGCTGGTCATGAAAGCCTTCGACTTTACAAAGGTAATGTTGTTGAGCAGGTGCAAATCATTTCCAAAAGGGATGTTTAATTAGGAGCTCTTTCACACTACACAATTATGGCACCACTGTAACCGCCATAATAATAATAATAATAATAATAATAGCTGCATCTCATGGAATATGTAGCTCTCTTACAGAAAATATTGAGTACACCTTAGAAACAGGACTTAGGATGAAGCCATGGCAGTTGAAGTCGAAATATGATACTGTAATTATGAAGTGTGAGAGGGCCCTGGGTACTTGCATGTTCATAATCTGTAAAGTGAAGGCAAAATCTACCATTTAGAACATATTATTAATGGATCAGCTACATGGTAAGGGGCCTGGGCAGTAGGGGAGTTGTTGTAAGCCGCCTGGATAACCTTGGCTAAAGGCGGGATATAAATTAAATTTTATTTATATATTTATTTATTATAAGTCCTTTCCAACTTTTGGTGACCATAAGGTGAACCTATCAAGGAGTTTTCTTGGCAAGTTTCTTTAAAGGGGGTTTGCCAGTGCCATCCACTGAGGCTGAGAGAATGTCACTTGCCCAAGGTCACTGTGGGTTTACATGGCCAAGCTAGGATTCAAACCCTTATCTCCAGAGTCCTAGTCTAACACTCAAACCACTATGCCATGCTGGCTTCCCCTTTTAAAGTTAGTGGTTTGACACCAGACATACAGAAACAGTCAAAAGGATCTCTCTCTGCATATGCATATTATTGCCTAATTTTTTCCCAACAGGCCTCCTCTCTTTTGAAGAACTATGTATATGAGAAATTCTCCATGCTGGAAAAGACAAATAGTTGTGAATTTCAATTTTCAGTGAAAGGCAAAGGAGGTGGGGAGAGGAATGTGGCAGCCTTGCAGAGGTCTTTTCCTTCACTGTCACTTCAATTAGTTCCCACTCATCTCATGCCCTCCAACATTTCACAGATGAAAACTGGGACACATGTGGCCAAGCAACATCAGAGTATGATCAAGACAGCAAAAGTTATATAGTTAGTATATGGTTAAGCAAAAGTTAATAAGGGTAAACATAAACTCTAGGAGAGGCTGCAGAAGTTTGGCTTTGCCTAAGTCTACTGGGAAGGTCAAAATCCTACCCCTCCTCTTCCTCTCCTGCTGAAAACTGAGTGAAAACTATTTTAGCACTTTGAATTCGGTTTACTTCAATTGAAGTAAATGGAGGACAAAGAGGGAAGGTGGATGGAGAAAAGAAAAACTGGGACATTTTAAAAGCAGCTAAAAAAGTGAAATGGCAATGGATTGGTCTGGACTGACCCTGCCAAATCAGGGCAGTTGGAGGGCATCTCATGTAGAATCTGATGAAGTGGCATGGGGACTGAAGACAAACTGGCTCTGAACTACTTTTCACCTCCAAATGTCAAATTAATCAGTAGTAAAAGAGCCAGCCTGGCAGAGTAGTTTGAGTGTTGGGCTACGACTCTGGCGACGAGGGTTCGATTTCCCACTTGGCCATGAAACCCACTGGGTGACCTTAGCAAGTTACATGTTCTCAGCCTCAGGATAAGGCAAACCTCCATATCTGAACATATCTTGTCAAGAAAACAATAGGGTCACCGTAAGTTAGATACAACTTGAAGTCACACAACAACAACAACTGTTGCAGCAAGTTGCAAATAACTGAGAACCGAGACCAAGGTAGTAAAGGAAAACAGACTTTATTTGGCCAAAGACCCTCAGTTGGAATATTTTCCAAAAGTACTGAGAGTCCCTTGCTGGGCTCAAGCAGCTTATTTTATACCATTTTTAAAAGGAGCAGGCTGGACTTTACATTATACATTACGTATAAGGCACAGCTTGGCATTTCATTGGCTAAAGCTTATTCTTTAAGTCAAACCCCTATATGCACTTCATTAGCTTATCACAACCTTGCCAAAACAGAAAGCTTGACCCTTGGTTGAACTCAAAGAAAACATGCTACAGACATGTGAACATACGCTGCAATGTGGTTAGCTCTGTGGTCTAACAATCTTCAAGCAGCGCAAACCTGTCTGAGGGGAATGGGGAACTGTCTCAAAAGTTCAGCTGGAGCACATTTAGCCTGACCTTTTCCACTCAGAGCAATTTCACAAAAAAAGCAAGCCATTTTCCATCTATGCCTGCCTCATTGCAACAACAAATACCCTTTAGGACCATCTAGGAACCTAAGCAGGATCACTGCAAAAGAATAGATGGTAGACTACCATCCACTGGATGGATGGGAGACCACCAAGGAATTCCAGGTGCATTATATAGAGAGGGCTATATTTCAGAGGA